GCCTCCTTAGTTCAATAAATAGGATTTTGCAAATAGTTAATAAAAAATAAAAAACTCACTGCCATTGAGTCGTTTTGGACTCAGCAATCCCCATTGGGTTTCCGAGGTTGTAAATCTTTATGGAAGTAGATCATGCCGTCTTCCTTCTAAGTAGCAACTACTGGGTTTGAACCACTAACCTTCTGGTTAGCAGTCAAGAGCCTTATCCACTACACCACCAGATCTCCACAAATAGCCAATATGATTTAGATCTGACTCAGCTGCAGTGAGTTTGGAATAGTAGTATACAAATGTGAATTTCCTGATTTTGAAAACTGTGATTAGTTAGCACTAAAGGAAGCTAGACAGGAGCATATGTGAACTCTATACTATGTTTGCAACCTACCTGTAAGTCGACAACGATTTCAAAACAAAAAATTAAAAACTGTATTACAATATAAATATATATAAATATAAATAAATAAATATATATCTCCTTTGTGCCTTGTTATTCATTCCCTCTTCGTCTAGTCAGTAACTTACATGAGATATTTTATATTAAACCAAATAATTATGAGATACTGTAAAAATGAATAATCTGGAAAGTATCAATGATAATACTAAATAACAACTCATTAAAAGTAAAAACAAACCATAATACGCAGATGCAACTTTACAAAAACCATGGATAGTTATGGATAAAAATTGTAAACAGATAAAATTTTGCCTTTTTAGGCTTATAGATATCAGAGATGTTTTGGAAATTAAATTAATTTTGCTCTACAAAATTTCAATATTAGCAAAAAGAAAAAAAAAATACTGATAGAATTTCAAATATGAGATCAATTTAGCCAATGAAAAGTTGTTGAAGGCAGGATATTCTCAGAATTTGTGGTATATTCTAAAGATAAAGTATTTACTTTTAGTTTATAACTTTCAGTTATTTTATGTTTCTCCAACTAGGGAAAGTGTAGAACTTAATTAATATTTATTAAATATACATGTTTACCATAAACAACAGATAACTTCCTTAAGCTTTCTATGAATT